TAAGACTCCATAGTCACGTCTGCATTTCTTCTACATAGGACAACTCCTTTTGTCCCTCAGGATTTAAAATGCGGTGGTCAAACCTGCTTCCTGTCTGATGTGTGTTACTGGGTAGTTGCAACAACGTGTCAGTACTTGTTAATTGTCAAAAATAGCAAAAAGAGGGTTTTAGCTTTTTGTTTATTCCAACAATAGCCACATTTCTTCCTCTTATGTTCTTCTTTCTAATTGCTTTATTTTTCATCCTTGCTCCACCGACTTCCTCAAATAATTAGGAAAAAACAATGATCCGATATAAGTGAACTACATATTTATATTTTCTTTCATAAAAAATAATGGTAAAGTATCTGTTCGAATAAAAAAATTGGGAGTTTACGATTATACTTATCGAAACAGTTCGAATCACTGATTTTGGTTTGTCAAATTAAACTAAAACTAAACTTTCTAAGTCACAATATCGATTTGTATTTTCCAATTTTGATTTTGGTTCTGACGAATCCGGTTTAAACTGTCATTTTATATTTATTTATTTATTTACTTTAATAACTTTTATTTTTTATTTTTTTTCCAAAATCCGTGAACTTTAAATTTGATTTTATCTAAGAATGTGTATTTTTTGTATTTTTGTTTTTTTATTAAAAAATAATTATATACATATATATATATATACAAGTATACTTTATATATATTTGCAATTTATGGAAATTATATAAATCAATAAGAAGTTAGTTTGCAAACTATAGGGTATCATTATAACAATATTTAATAACAATATTAAGTTTTCTTGTCCCGTAAAGGATGAGCTGGTAGTATAGGGGTTGGACTTGTAATCATGACTTTCCCCCGTCGGACCTACATATTTATACATACTTGATGGTATTCTCTCGTTGTAATTAATATCCTAAAATTATTAATTAAAATATTTGGTTTGGCCGTCCCAAAAATAGATCATCTCAAAACAAATTATTGATATTCTTTTGTATTTTTCTTGATTTTCTATTATTTTCGGAAAAAAAAAAGGGTTATACTAAAAGATTAGGTTTTAATAGTATATGATTTAATTTTTATATATAAATCAAAGTAATTTGTATTATAAACAGAAAATTATAATTATATACATGGATTCTTTTTCAATTTATTCATATATAGAGTTATATAGGCACACAAAAAATTTACATAGGCACAAATATATTATGGAGGCCAAATCCTTCCTTAGCCTTTCCTTTCTCGTAATTTTGTTTCTTCAGTTGGTGAGATTTTTTTTTTTTTTTTAAAAAAAATTAAGTAAATTAAATCTATACATTTTGTTCATTAATTAATTTATTTAAATATATCCTTTGTGTGTGTGTGTGTAATTCATCTTAATGTAGCTAAGATAGTGTCTAGAATTCATATATAAAATATATACACATATATATTGATCAATTATATATGTTTTTATTTAAATATTTAAATATTATGTATATATATATAATTGTCTAATTCATATAAAATTATTATATATAGTACATGTATTCTTTTTTATTTAATGGTTCTATATATTATAATGTATATGAGTATTTATTTTAAACTTGCTAGGAGTTTGTAAGATAATTTTCTAAATTTGGTAATTACTTAAATAATAACCTAGGTTGTTTAGGAGCTTTTAATTCCTTTTTGTTCGACTTTATAAAATTAATTTACGCGATATTTGTTAATATATAGGAAATAATTTGGTCGCGGCGCAAAACATTTGCGATGTAAACCTTAGAATGGGATGTACAAGTGAAGCTAAGTGTGAACAAATTTGTGCATCGATGGGCTATCCTAACGGCTATTGCCAATTCGAAGGACACTCTCCGAGGGTTTGTGCGTGTCAAAAACCTTGTTGAATAACATGAAGCCGAAGCCAATGCCCGACGATGGTTTACATTTTTTTAAAAAAAATAAATAAATAAAATTTCATGGCAATATGCTAAAAGTATTTTCAACATGTGTTTTTCTAAATTAAAACCGGGAAAACAAGCAAAAAATCACGAACAAAAAAAATCATAATCAATTAAGAAAAAGTCTCGAAATATTTGAGACCATTTACATTGATTCATAAATTTCGAAACTAATTGGCTTGAAATTTCCAAGACTTCTCCTTTATTGTCTTTTTAAGGAATTTCTAATTTATATCATCATGTAATTGCTTCGAAATAAATTGCAAAGGCTTAAGAATAATGTAATTGCTTCGATAGGCTTAAGAATAATGTGTCTTTACCTTTTCTTTATATAATTTAATGTGTCTTTGATATTTTATTAATATAATCTTTTTTAGTGCGTTCTGAACTTCTGATCAGTTTAATAGTTTGAAAATTAGACTCGGCAAGACAAATCCATATATAACAGGCAAGACTTGGAGGCGTGGAGAGTTTGAACGGATAATCAATCCTTTTTATTAATTACTTTTGTAGTTTATGTGAACAACAACAACAACAATAATAATAATAATAATAATAATAATACTTCCTTCATCCCATAACAAAGTATCCATTTTTCCATTTTAGTCCGTCTCATAACAAAGTATCTATTTTTTTTAATAACTGTACTATCTACCTAACATTACAAATATCCTTACAACTTACAATATATTACACAAATGTCATTATCTTTATATCACACATACTAATAAGGTTATTTTAATTATTTCTATTTTATTCCCACTGTATCCCAATATAATACTAATATTTCTAAAACTACTTGAAAAAGCAAATGGATATCTAGTTATGAGACGAATGGAGTAATAATAATAATAATAATAATAATAATCGATTCGTTCCAAAAAGAAGAGTGTCATTTTTCATTTCTATCCGTCCCAAAACAAGAAGAATATTGTTTTCTAATTTAGTAATTTACTACATACCTAACATAATAAATACTCTTACAACTTACAATATTATACAAATATCGTAAATAAGGATATTTTTATCTTCTTTTTTTTTTTTGAACTATGTACCAATATAATAGTAATTTTAAAAAATTTACGTACAAAAAGCAAACGACAATCTATTTTCGAAACAGAAGAGTAATAATAATTGTGAATTTCATTATAAAATATTGATTAAAAAAAGGGAATGTGTATTTAAAAATATCAAAAAAAATTACCAAACTTAAAAATTAAAAAAAAATTAAAAAAAAAAACTAATTTGTATTGATTAAAAAAAGGAAAAATATTTTTAAAAAAAATAGATCTGTTTTTACTAATCTCAAAAAAGACTAATTTGTATTGATTAGAAAAGGGAAAAATATTTTTAAAAAATAGATTTTTTTATTTACCAACCTCAAAAAAGACTAATTTTTCTTAAAGATTGGGATATTTCTTCACTCTATATATATATATATATATATATATACCCCACACAACAAAAAAATATATATACACAATAATATGGAAACCAAATCCTTCATTGGCCTTTTCTTTCTCCTATTGTTTATTTCTTCATTCGGTGAGTACCTTGTTTTTGGTTTTTTAAGGCTAAATTTGAATTTATAAGGTATTATGCAGGAATTAAATAATTTAATTATTTATTTAAAAATAATAATTTTTAAACAATATGATCATAATTTTCACTTTCATCGCATTATTTTACACTTCGTTCAATATCGTATAGGCTTTCTCGAGCGCGCATCCCACCTGACCCTTCTCGAAAAAAGCTCCATACAATACTCCTTATATTCGCATAAATCCAATAACAACAAAATAACCAATATTTATATCATATCAAACAATTATTCAAATTTAAACTTTTATCATTAAAAAATTCTAACCCAATATCAAAATCCACAAACAAATTTTGGTACAAATTATGAGAATTTACACATATTTTCAGTAAATATAAGAATAAATTATACAATAAAATTCAATTTTTATGTTTTTTTTTTCTCCTAGTATTCTAAGTTTTAACCATCAAGTGACAATGATCTCAATGAACTATATATAGAATCGTTTTATCATATTTAAAATTGATAATTATATGAATAAAAACTTAGATAGTCTCTTAACTCTTCATTTATTTACTTCTATTGGATAAAATAAATTTATATATTTTGTTTATTTGTAGAAAAGAATTTGGTCACGGCGCAAAGGTTAAGGTTTTGCAGCATAGTTCTTAACGCGGGATGTACAAGTGATACTTTATGTCGACAAGATTGTTTACCGTTGGGTTATACATCCGGGACGTGCCAAATGCAAGGGCCCGGTCCAAGAGTTTGTGTGTGCGCAAAGCCTTGTTGAATAATATGAAACGAATGTCATCGTATAGGTATGACATATAGATTCGAAAGTAATAATCTAAGATAATGAATAAAACTAAATTTAAAACAATTAAATGACTGAGTTGAGTTACATTGTTTTTTATTTCTTTACTAGCCACTTGATTTATAAGAGTTTGACACGCGTATGATGTTGATGCATAATCACTGTGTTGATTGTTTCGATATTACTACATACAAATTTTTAATATAAAAATGTACTTTTGTAATTTTAAATCAAAATCAATACTATTTACTCCTTTCCATTTTCAATAAAAAAAAAAAAAAAACATTATTACTCTAGTAAAATATCACATTTAAAATACTATTCAAATAAAAACTCACATATCCGACCTAGTTTGCAGACAATTAAGTTCGACCAGAAATTTACTCAGAATACAATCATCAAAGAACCTAATCTAGGAGTCCCCATGAATTTTTTTTTCATATTTTATGAAATTGTTCTTATAAGAAAGTGGTATCGAATAAACACAACATATTTGAAACATATTTATTTCAAAGAAGAGTGTGTAGCTTAACAATATAACTCAAAGGCGAACTCCAACAAGAAGTTCCAAGTCTTTCACATCGAACGGCATTCAAACTTATCATCCAAAAACACAAAATCTTGTTCAAGACTATATGCTAAATCCAGCTTCGGCTATCCAAACTGATTCTAACAGAGCTAATTTGCAGCTAACGATCATAAATGCAAGACTCAAATCTTTAATGTCGAAGCTCCATCTTCTAATAATGAAAATCACTTCATAACATAGAGCAAATCACACTCAGACTCAAAAAGCCAAGAACGATCACAATGCATATTCCAACCAAGACTCAACTATCGACCAAAATTATCAAGAAGCCATCAAACAAAAGAACGATCTAGACATAGATAATCTAGCAATTTTTTAAACTAGTAAACAAAAGGGATTAACTTGTACGGCACCTTCTCGGCGTACTCACTATACCTCTCGCCAAAAGTCTCCTGCATCGCGGCCTCCTCCAACTTCGCTTTCCGACCATAATACAGCAAACAAACAGCAACAATAAACAGCACACTCAAGGGTGCTCTGAGGGCAGCAAAGTATGTCACAAACAGGAGCATCGTAGAAGCATAAATCGGATGGCGAACGAATCTGTAAGGCCCAAATTGAACAACAGCAGTCGGAACAACCACTTTCTCCGAATAATTCGCCAAGTACAACGTTGAATGATACTGCATAAAAATAGTTAATCCAATCAACAACCATATAGCCACATTAATCCACCCTCCCTGTATAAGGTGCAGCTCCGGCCCCTCGAACGCCGCCAGGCAATGGCCGACCATAACTCCGGCGCAAAACAGAAGCTTTTCGAAACCAGGGAGGCTAATATCCCACTTTCCGTCGTGCTCCCGAGGCTCTAAATCGCCATACAAACGCTTCCTGACACTGACGTTGAGGAAGAAGAAGTAATGGTAGACTGCAAAGAATACGAAGGGCCATCCTTCGAGGAAGCCATTAAAATGCGCCGGAGGAACTAAGGTGAGCCAGGTTATGGCGGATGTGACGACGGCGAGCTGGTGGAAGACGGTGGATTCTCCCCTCAAATGCTTGTTGAGGCTGTAAATGCCGAAGCCTGCTAGGGCGAGCGCCGCCATCCATGGCCAGAACAACCACGTCATGCTGAAGTACATCCAGACGAATGGATTAAAGAACACGCTTGTACTCCATTTGAGTGCGGCGGTTATGGCGGAGAACAGCAAACACCATTTGCAGACGTCGATTGGAGTTAGCTGAGAAATTTTGTGTTTCAGAGACTCCAGGGAACGGCGATTGAACAAACCTGAAATTGGATTCGGAGTCATCGAACTCGAATAACGGCATTTCAGGGAAGGTGAAATCCTGTTGTTATTGTGGGAGAAGATTGAAGCGGACCGAAATTCAGGGACGACTGAAAGGGGGTAATTGAGAGAAACAGCAGCGGTAACCCTAATTTTGTTGTTATTGGAACAAGAGTTTCTGCAGTTAACCTGTTCGTGGAAATGCCTGAACGATGAGATGGACTGCTTTGGTGAATAGAGAGGCGGGGAGAGCTTGGAGGTGAGCAAGGAAGCGACAGCGTCCATGGCCGCCGCCTGCGTACCAGAAAGCAGATTTGTTGGGTGTTTGGGGACGGAGACGGACTTTTTCTAGACTTGCTCAGGCGGGTTCGAACCGCCGGTCCAGACCGGCGACTCGTCGGTTTGAATCGCTGGCTGTGAGTGGGAAAACAATGGCAGCAGCAGCGACGGGGCGAAGGAGGAGGAAGAAGAAGATGGAATTGAGAAGACGAAAATGGGGATTGGGATTGGGGGAGACAGAGTTGGAGCCTGTGGACTGTCTAGGTAGGTTTAGGTTTAGGGCAACTAATTTAAGAAAAATCAATTTTAATTTCATAATTATCAATTTTAATTTTATTTAAATAATTTAATCACTTTGATTCCATCCAAATAAAATATTATAAAAATAAAAAGATATAAGAACCGTGCTCTCTGCTTCAAAATTCTAAAAGAACGATCGTAGTGCAGGCAAAAATTGACCTTAGATAATTAGGTTTTGGTTCATATTTTTGACCAAATTAATAATTGAATCAAAACTCGTGCCAATTCAATTCAAATATTCAGGGTCAATTTTATAAAAATAAAAATAAAATAAAATAAAATTTAACCAAAATTCTACAAAATTAGTATTAAATAAATGATTATATTATGTACGTAGTATTTATTAAATCTGGCTCTTGAATATTTGTTTTAATGATACGAATAAATAGTTTTTTTCGCTTAAATATGTAAATATATTATGCATTTGAAAATTTTGCTAATAAAAATTATAATCAAAACTTAAAAATTTTAGACTTAAACAGATTATACATGTCACATTCAATTTGATCAGATTAATAAAAAATTATATTAAGATTACAAATATTGCAATATCAACCTGTTTAATTAAATTGGTTAGAGTCAGATCAAAGAATTTTTAATCCGTTTATAGCTTACCTGAACCCGACCTGATTCCTTTGCCGGCCTTAAACAACAGATCTGATTCCTTAAAAAAACTGATTTTTCATACGACACCTGGAGCAGACGTTCTCAGAAAAAAATCACAGTAAAGGGATTTTCCAGAGAGCGAGCTTTTGGAGTCTAGCCATGCCTGAATCACATTACACAAAACAATCAAACATTCTTCGGAAAATAATAATCGAGATTAAATTGCAGTGAAATTTGGAAAGCCAGATAAATCCATCACAAAAGTTTGCCACAGAGAATTACCAGAGTAAATACTGGGCCAGTGCTCAATCTTCTTCGTCATATTAATTTTCTTTGGCATCCATTTTCCATAAAAACCTATCTTCGAATCTTTCATCCATAGTTCTGTTGGATTTTCTTTCCACGACATTCTCAACTTACCACATGAAGAATCTTCTTCATCCAGACATGATAGGCCATAGCATCATAATAAGGTAAAACTCCTGCTAAAGAAGAAGCTGCTTTCTCAAATTCGACATTTCTTCCATGGTCTTCAAGTTTAAACAACTTTCACTGCAAAATCTCCTTCATCAACTACTGACGGGAAGGTTGGCAAACTGAAAATCACAGATCATATAAAGCACTTCAAAGTTGGAAAAACCATGAGAGAGAACAGAATACAAGGCTATTCATAAAATGGGAACTCAAAATAATCTTCATTTAACAAGCCATACCTCACAATCTAAAATGACGAGGAAGCCGACTAGATTTGGCCTGCCTACTCAATATTTCTTGAGCATATTTTTGATTCCCAGTCAACATAAGCCCATTCAGAACACGATTAAAAGTAAATCTTCGAGGCAAAAATCCGCACTCAATCATTTCTATCAACAGCTTCCCGGCAATCAACAAATCCTCCGGCTTCTTCCTCACAAACATTGCACTAATTAAAACATTGTATGTATCTAAAGTAGGCAAACACGTATCCCCAGCTTTCATCTTTTCAAACAGCTCCAACGCTTTCTCAATTTCTCCATCGTCGCAATAGTACCGAATGACGAGGTTAAAGGTCTGAATGGTTGGCTCACAATCATCTTTCATTTTGTCCATATATTCGATAGCCAAAGCCATTTTCCCGGCATGACACAAACCTCTAATTATTAAGTTGTAGGTGGTTGCATTCGGCACATAACCCTTCCTCAGCATCTCTTCAAAAACTACAATAGCATTTTCCACTGTATCTTTTTTACACAACACTTGTATCAAAGCATTGTATGTAGAAACCGAGGGCAACACCCCGACACCCACCATCTCATAAAAAACCTTTCTTGCCCTCTCAACCTCACCCACAACGCCGAGCCCGTGAACCACTGTTGTGTAGCTAACAACATCAGCCTCGACGTGTCTACTCTTCATCTGTAAGAAAAATAACCACCCTTCCTTAATTTGTCCGGCTCTAAAATACCCTTTCAGCAATATGTTGTACGTCGTCAATGTAGGCTCCAAACCCCTCTCAACCATTTCCTTCATAACTTCCAACGCTCGCGGAGTTTGCTTTTTCAAACAAAAACCATTCGCAAGAATGTTGTAACTAATCACATCAGCCCTAAATCTCCCCCTAAAGATTTTAAACAACCGATACGCCATCTCTGCACGATTCGACTTGCACAGCACATCAAGAAAAGCATTAAACGAACTCAAATCTTGTTGGCAGCCATGTTCGTGCATAGACAGAAATATCTTCAGCGCCTTATCAGCTTTCCCAGCAGATACAAATCGTTCAATTATAATAGAAAAAGTTTTCGGGTTGGGACCCAACTTCCTGGATCTCATCCTTCCAACAAGCATCCACATAGCTTTGTAATCCCTCAGCCGCGCCGCAATATCAATAGCATAGTCGAATTCAGCAGCTGAATGGGAATAGGAAGGATGGTTTTCGAGGATGTTGAAGAATTGGAGGGCCTTGAAGCCATTGTTCCAAAGGCGTTTGAGGATTGTTTGGACTAAAACAGAGGGCCATTCGCCGATACTATGGAATGTTTCTGTTAGTGATTCCGGGTTGTCGGATTTGAGGATTAGATTAGTGACTGTGGCCGGATCTATCGCCGATGGCAATGGGGAGATGGTGGATAGGGGCTTTGGAAGGGCTCTGCAATTTGTGAATTTGGAGGTTTTGTTGAGTATGTGAGCTGAAACATGATCACCCTTCATTTTCATCCTGCACATGTAAGAAGGTAAACAATTACAGCAATACAAAGAACAAAGAGCAGACATACTTATGAAATGGCAGTAAGGAGTGAATCACATAACAAATTTGGTTCAAATTTGTGTTATTGAACTTGAACACTACTAAAATATATAAATGAAAATTTTTATTGAACCACAGAAGGAACGAAATCCTTTGAATTGCATAAAACCTAATTATAGTTCAGAATAAATACGAAATATGCTAAAGACTGAATAATGAGTTCGGCACAGAATCTACATAGATGGCGCAAAAGGACATCTTTTGATCTAGGACTCGTATAACAAAAATCAATTATAAAATTTGTAAAGCTCAACCAAATTTGTCCAAAGACTGACCTACGCTGCTCTTATACGTCGACGATGGCAGCCTGTTACTTCAAGCTTTACTTTTTCAGTTTCTAAAAAAGTCGAGGCTTCTCGGTGGCTGGACGGACGGCGGTCGGTGATGGTGAATCGTGAGTGACGACGAAGAAGAAGAAATGGGGGAAGGAAAGGGTGACTGAACGCAGCGATGTCACGAAAGGAAGAAGAAGCGCACCAGAATCATAAAATTGTTTCAAGCTTTCACTTCTGTGTAGAATAGAGCAATTTATTAAATACTTCACTGTTAGCAAAAATGTCTAAAGACAGAAGTGCTCTTGAGATGTAACCATTCTTTACCAGATTAGCAACTGAATTTCTACTTCTATCTTCTACTCTACTCGCCTCTGTCCTCCCTTTCTTCTTTAATTTTCTTCTGCGATTTTAGTGTGAAGGAGGGAGGCCGGCGATGGGCAGTGGCGTTGCGTCGAGACGGCGTCGGTGCGGTGGTCGTCGGAGGTTGCGCGCGGCTGCGGTGAAGGTCGGGGTTGGACTTGGCGGGTGGGGAAGGGGAATTGAGATTGAATTTTGAAATTAGGGTTGTAAATTAACTTGGTTTATTATTTAGCTTTTTTATATATTTTTATTATTTTAATTTTAAAATTAGAATTGTAAATTACATTTTGTTTGGGGGATTGAATTTTGAATTAGAATTTGAATATTAAAAATTTTTTAAAAAAAACACCTGACATTTTAATTCATGTGAAAAAATATTAAAAAAATATGATTTCTAATAAATAATTAATCGAGAACTTTGACACGTCAGAATAAATATTTTTGGTGACTTTTATTTTGTTAAAATAATAAATTAGATACAATATTTTTTGTAAGATTAAATTAGTGTAATTTTTTAAAAAATAGTAATAATAAATTAAATATAATATTTTGTAAAATTAAAATAATATAATTTTAAAAAATTATAAAAATTAATTAGTAAAAAAAATAAAATATAAAATATAATTATATTGTATCATTATTCAATTCTTTGTATTTATCTGTATATGGCATAGAAATAAAATCAGAGAATGAGAAATGTGATCATTTCTATTCTTCAACCAAACAAACAAATAAAATTATTTTCATTTCTCTAGCCTCGTTTATCTGTGTCAAACACACCATAATTTTAACTACTTACTACAATTCAAATACTAATATTTTTATTTTTAAAATTTTAGGCTAAATTTAAGAGCATGATATTTTGTCATGTCTTTGATATTGACGTCACTTTATTTTGGAGATTGAAAATTAACTATTTAATCTTTATGAAAAATTAAATCAAATCACATCGTATATTAATTTTTTACTCTTCTTATGAGCCAAAAACCTCACATGACACACTAATTTTAATGAAAAACATCTTTATCAATTTTATTCTTAACATAAAAATTCATCAATTTTAATCCAAACCGTTTTAATTAATTTTTGTTTTAAAAAAAATCAACGAAAATTGTTGACGTAAATACGATAAAATCAATGTGTCAGCTGATATGGACAAAATACAGCCATGTAAATACAACACGTCCGTATCGTCATAGTCAGCAACAAGGCGAGTCAAATAACACAGTTGTATTCAATTTTTCCCAGCCGTGTCCGTGTGCGAGGCAACACGTGTCACGTCTAGTCTTCCACGAAAAAAGTAACGCCTGCAAATCTTGTCTAACACAGATAGTTCATTTAATGCAATTTGTCTTGTCGAACTTAATTTTTATAATATTGTTCAAAGATTCCCATGTCAAAATTATTAAGAAAAAAAAAAAAAAAAAAGGGCAATAGCAGCTTCCTATAATATAAGAATCCAACACACGTACACATACATCCCCCCGCCAAACCAAATTAGTAGTTATATGACAAAAAAAAAAAGAACACTCGAAGAAGCCATTAAAACCACCACTCCAACTACCCCTATTACTACTCCAACCCTAACTAGCTAACTACTCTTTCCTACTTCTAGTTATATCTTATTTATCACTACACCAAATTACTAAACCCACACACAATAATAAAAATACCTCTTCGCCGCCACAGCCCCGCCGTGATTTCCGATTTCCGATAGACGACAATGGCGGTGGTCGGCTACATCGATCGATCTGTTCCATCGTAAATACGTCATATCATCACAACGCTTACATAAAATAAATTAGAAACAGAGAGCGCGATAATCACCTCGAGTCGAGCTTACATAAAATTCTACGACGACGACGACGGGATCCAACACGAGATCGCGCAAATAATCCGCCCTTTCCATCCTTGTAGCATCCAACACCCGTCTTCGTCGAACAAAAAATCCTTATGATACCCCGCTTGCGCCTTATGTCTTAATTTCTTTATAATGTCGGGATTCAACGCGACCTGTTTGAACCCGGCCCTCACATGCCGGACTTGCCATTGCTTGTACGTCTCCGGCCTCTCGACCCTCTCGGCCCCCTCGCACGCCGTCACATTTATCACTTCCCGCCCGTAAAAATCCTGCTCGAAATCAACCCTCTGCGGATTATCGCGGGACAGCGTGCTGTCGAACATGTCGAAAAGCGCCGAGTAGTGGAAAAGCGCCTCCCGAAAACGCGTAACGAAGAAGGGGGCGTTGAACGACCCGTTCGTGACGCCGTTCACAAATATATCCGGCTTCATTTTTCGAATCAAGTTCAGAAGCGCGTCCCTCGGATTGTCGACCGCTACAGTTTCGTCGAGCAATCGACCGAATCGAAACAGACAGTTCACCGCAAGTACCTCGCCTTTAACGATATTTAAATCGTCTAGCTTAATCGTTTCCCAGTTCTGCGCTGCGATCGGATGGTACTCGAACGGCACGCCGAAACGTTCGCAATACTTCGCCAAACGGCACCCCGTCTCTTCGACTCTTTCTGTCGGTCGAAATCCTGGCTGCGGGAGCTCGATTCCGGTGATCCGTAGCTTCGGGGGGCCTCCAGGCCTTTGCGAGAGCTGATGAATGAGGATAGGCCATTGGAAACCGTAGAGAATACCGAAATCGATAATGTGCAGCGTCGTTGCTTCCGAAGCGACTAATCCGATCATCTTATTCGCAAAGAATATCGACAATTTCTTGAACGGACAGGATGAAAGGTAGACGTTGTAGGCCTTTAACTTCTCGGCAGCTGTGATCCTCCTACGAACTAGAGACGCGTAAAGCTCGGTTCCCGTGCCGCCCAAACGTGCCTCGAGACCTGTGGCGAATACGAAAGCCAACCTCTGGTTTGCGTCGCCTGTAGGAGAAGAATGTAGACTGATCTGTTTCAATTGCTCGTATGCAGTTCTTCGATCGTCGGCAGCGACAGATTGGGCGCAGCTGATCAAAAGGGTTCGAAGGTCGACAGAGTCGCCTTTATTATTGCTAGAACCATTGGATGTTACGTTCTGTTTAGCAGTCTTCACTTCGCTAGGGATTTCCCCTTTGATATCAGTGCAAAGAAGAACTCTGTCGAACATTTCCGATAGCTCGATATCTTCGTTGTAGATTGCCGACTGTTTGCTGCTTCTTTCACTGTTTTCCAAATCATCATCCTCTGGGTATTGGTGTTTTCTTCCTTTCGAACCATTAGGAGAGTCGTCAGTCTCGTTCTTTTCTACCTTTACGATAACATCTGAGCTGATGTCTTCTGATTTCTGAGGTAACTCATATTTGTCAAGATCGATAATCAATGGAGTACTGGGAGGAAGGAACTTACTAGCTTCTTCCATTCCTCTCTTGAACTGCAAAATCGAGTCACTATCACTGAAGATATTCTGGAGGAGGGCTGTGTTGCCGAAGGAGTTTGTCGAATTTGGATTACTGTAGAAGCTGTTGGCAGTACTAAACGATGATTGAGAACTTGCCTGCAAGAGTGGATTAGCTGGAAATTCCTGAAATTGACCATGTTTAACCGAGGAATTATATTCGCCAGGATCAACGATCCACTGAGGATCGATGGAGCTACTTCCAGTGTTACTGCTGTTTGTCTGGTCACTGGAATTTCCCAAAAGGCTATCCGGGCTATCTGAAGTTAGCTCGCCGTAATTAAGTGGATTATAAGGCGAAGGTGGGTATTCCTTTCCGATGACTTCGTACAAGGATTTTTCAGTAGCTCGTAAGGCAAGTGGATCGTGGAACATACTTGGTTTCTCTTCCATGTTCTCTTCAACAAGTATCTGATTAAGGAACTTAAGAACCGGATCAGAGTCTTGATCCTCGGGAGAATCTGCCTCATAGCTCAGGTTTGGAGATGGAGTAAAACTATCGAGGCCTGGGCCTAGTGGGAAGGATGGGACATTCAAGGAATCAAGTTCTAGGTAATTACGATCAATCCCATTCGCGTTGCTCTGAAATGGCTCATAAATGGGCAGCAAGTGATCATCGGGAAATTTGGCACCGTTTGCTGCATTCGAAATTTGATTGAATCCATGATCCATGTAGGCTATGCCTGAATATACCTAATCAAATACAAAAGCATCCTCAATGTCATCTGTTCAAAAAGATCATATTGAGTAGGAACAAGAAAGAATCACAAATACAAAAAACTGATAAAAAATGACTATGACTACAATGTAAATGCAACTGCTTCAATGGAGTATGGTCAGGATCTAAAAACAGAATCTAAAGACAATACAATGTAAACTCACATTAATGTAAAGAAAATCATAACGATTTAATCAGAAGATACATATATAGATATATACACATTTTAAAAATCCACAAAAAAATCTATAGGCTAAAATACAGGAATCAAGGATATGTATATCAGCTGAAGTTCATACTAATCAGGAATCTATCTGAATCTAGACACGGATAGATAAACATTCAACACCCAACAATTACCCAATTTATTAAACCTAATCCAAACACAATAAATATGCAATTATGCATGTAGGTAGATGTATAAACACCACTAGAATAAATAAATACCTCGTGTTGATATTCTATTTCATCATTCAATCACGGCGTACGAACATTATTCATACAGTCATTAAATACATGTGTACTGGAAATGAAAATTGCCTAAAATTGATAGAACAATCATAGGTTTTTCAACACCAATTCCATTCTAACGAACTAAACACAAGGACAAAGTCAAGTCAGCTGTCCAGCTGTAACCGTAATCTCCGAAAATCAAGCGACCAAAAATCTCTTCAAAACCACCATACGAAGAAACAGAAGCAACAACAAAAAAACGAGAAGTAACCAATCCAACCTACAATTAAAGAGTTTACACACCACACAAACAACCAGATAAAACACAGAAAGTAACCTCAAACAAATAAACGCAGAGACTCTCAAAAACACAAAGCTAACTCAAAAATCACAAAGCATTCAGATCCAACGGCGCAACCGATAGAGATGAGTAGTTGCAGCGAATTCACACATACCGCAGCCACCAACCAGCAGATTAACACAATCTGTAGCAGCAAAAGAAGCAAATTTCATCGCATAATCGAACAGCATACCTGAGATAGCCCCGAATTGAATGAAACGGAGGAATCAACGATATGGAAAAAGTGTTCCAGGCTGGAGAGAGTTCAGTAGAGAGATATTGAGTGAGTAGAGAAAGATTGTGGAATGATTTTTTTGGCTATTGTCGGGGAAATGAATTGAGACGACTCGGACTCATATATATGTATATGTAAATCTAGAGAGAGAAAATGGGATCATTATTCTTGATAATTGCTAAAATGTCCTTAAGGAGTGGTCTATTTACTTGCAGTCCCTATTGTCTTGCTTATCTAATTAATGCCCATGTTATGTCATTCGCTCCATATAGTTAGGGTTTGTTTGTTTGGATATTGGATTTTAAATGCACTATTCATTGCATTTTTTAAAAAAATTAATTTTATATTTGAAATATTACATCAACACTTATTTATATCACATTATACAATTATTCAAATTCAAATTTTTTACTATTCAAATCTCAAACTCAAAATCCAAACCCCCAACCAAACTAATAATAACATTGATCCATTTAATCATTTGTATGTTTTTCTTCTTTTGTATAAGTATTTGTCTTTTCTTATAAAAAAAAAAAAAAAATTATTTGATTTTTATTTTTATCTAAAATATTTCTCCCTCCGTCCCACAGTATTCTTTTTATCATAGACACGAAAATTTAGGAGAGATATAATTAGTAAATAATTAATAATATATTATTTAAAATAATGTTGTATAATAAAAATAATTTTATTTTAAAATTAAGATAACTAATTCGTCTAATCAAAATTTAAAAAATTTAAAATTTAAAATGTTAAAATTAGATTAAATTGTATAATTCTTTTCCAATAAAAAAAAGTGACAAAATAAGTGGATAGACAAAAATGAAAATATGAACATAGTAAATGAGACGGACAGAGTATATTTTATATCTTTTACATAAAAAAAATTAAATAAATAGGAGTATATTTGAAATGAAAATTCGGTCCAATTATTTATTTAATGTTAGGTGTGTTTGTGTTTTTTCTTTTTTAGATTTTTCAAGATTATACTCTTTTCATCCCACTAAAAGTGTCTATATTATTGTAGATACAGAATTTAGGTAAAATATAATTAGTAAATACTTAAAAAGTATATTAGTAAAAATAATTATTATATAATAAAAATAATCGTATATCAAATTAAGATAATTAAATAATTTAATTAAAAATAAAAAAATTATAAATTATGAAATTTAAAATGTGATTAAATGTATAAATATTTTTTTAAAAAAAAAATTATGCGAGACGAAATTATTTAAAAATAATAATAACAAAGTAGTTACTATTATTTATTAAAATAAAAATAATAACTTCTAAGGGGATAAAATTATTTATTGATAATCATGTATAAATTTAAGGAAGGGCTAAAAGAAGAATATCAATATAATTTTAGCGGGAATATAAAATATTTTTAAAAATTACTACAAAAAAAACTACAAAAGAATTTCAAATATATGTGTAAATAAATGTTATGTTCCCTTAACATTATTTTTTAGTTACGATTCTTTAAAAATAATAATAATAATAATAATACAAAATATTTTGTACATAAAGTCAAATTTAATTTTTTTTAAAAAAAAAATTTTAAATACTTATTATAAAATGTCAAAAGTCATTTAAAAAAATAAAATATCAAATATTCAACTTAAAAAAATTATATTTTATAATTTTGACATAATTTTTCATATCATACATCAAATATTATTTCATTTGAAAATATTTTGGTGTACGGAGTCAAATGATCTACCAAAAATGCCAACTTTCTCAAGCATTCTTAATTTGGGTTTTCAATAAAATTATCCAAAAGTATGAGGAGTAATGTGGTAATATAGCAAGTCATAGGGACGTAAAAGTAATTATCGGTTTGCTTTGGGAGCAAGGTGAGGATGACTGCAGCCGGTGCATGGTCCACAGTCGTCTGGACCTCGCTAGAATAATTATTCAATTATGGTCAAACCACAAAATCTTCAGGGTGTCTTTGAATTATGTTTGAATTATGTTTTAATTTCGGCGGATTTACACGGGATTAAAGAAATATTAATATTATATTATTAATTGGTAAAAAGTACGGATAAAACCTTTTTTTTGCCCTTGTGAATGTATTAGTGTAAAAAATTAGTGGCAATTGTGTAATAATAATGAAAAATAACGGTAGTTTTATAGTGATATAGTTATTTATGAAAATAAAACTTGTTTTGAGACGAACAAAATTAATAAACATGACTATTGTATTGAGTCAAATATAAAAATAAAAAATAAAAAAATTGAATATTTTATTAAAAATGAATAAAAGTCAAGCAAGTAATTAGAGATATTTTTAAAAATTTATTAAAATAAAAAACAGTAAAAAAAAAGATGTAATAAAAGTAATTTAATTTGTTGCAAATAAGTAGTAATGAACTGTAATAGTTAAATACTCCCTCCGGATAAAGTATATATTTATTTTTGACTCGGTATTTAAGAAATAATAGTATTTTAATTATAGTGGGTAGTTAAAAGTAGTGTAATGACATTTTTGCACTTCCGTTTTGATATAAAAGTAATGGTGTGATGTAAAGTAAGATATTTAATGAAATGTTTACTTTGTAATTAGACGTTCTAAAATAGAAATGTATATACTTTCTAAGTGGACGGAGGGAGTATTAATTTATTGAACTTTGTCAGTAATAAAGTAAATTTAGCTAATAGACTCAAGATTTGTAAAATATATACTATTATACACAATCTATTTATGTAAATAATAATCAAGTTATCATTATTTTTTCTATTTATCACATCATTTTCTTATCCATTCTTTAATACTCTTATGGCTCTACTTTTTTATGTACTTTATTTATACATTAAAATATTATTATTTTTGTCCGATTTTAAGGATTTCATTTACTTTTTTCGTGTTAGATGTTTGAATATTAATTATTACAGTATTTCAAAACATAGTATTCTCTCCGTCCCAAACAAGGTGCAACATTTGTTTTGGACACATATTTTTAGATGGGTAGTATTAAGTAAGATAATTTAGAAATTAGGTGATGTGATGGAGAGAGAAATATATATATATATTTTTTTTTATTAGAGTGATGTGATAGAATCAAGTGTTGGGTAGATATTAAGAGTGTGTTTGTTTGAGAGATTTGTTTGGATTTCCACTATTCATCCTATTTTTTCCCTCCAAAAACATCAAATCAAACATCTGTTTTTCATTTTTTATATTATACTAAAAATTAATTTTACATTCAAAACATCACATCAACACCTATTTATATCACATCATACAACTATTCAAATTCAAAATTTTTACTATTCAAATCTCAACTCAAAATTCAAACCCTCAAACAAACACACCCTAAGTATAATTAAATATTTCCTATTTTGAAAATATTGCAGGGTGTTTGGGACATGACGAAAAAAATGTTGCAGAGTTTTGGGACGGAGAGAGTACAAATTAATAAAAAAATTACAAAAATACTTCAATTAATATTTTATAATACTAATACAATGATATTTTTTCAAAGAATTGTACAAATATATGAATATTTTTAATATTACGTATAATGACACAAAAGATAAATGTGATGTTTAGAAGCGGATCGAGGGAGTTTTATATTTTAATCTTTGTGTCCAAGTGAATTGATATAATTAGTCGGAATGGACGGAATATTTTTTTATTAAATAGTGATGCTTTGAATTTAAAGTACGAGTGTATTTGTTTTGTGAAATGATTGAAAAAAAAATGTTTTTTATGTAAGAAATAAAAATTAGGTAAAAAAATATAAAAATAACGAATATGTATAATATATTAATTTTGTTGAAAATAATGTAAGTGAAAAGAAATATTGAAATGATACACCCTACAACTAAAACACTCTTGGTATTGGGGAAAATTAAATTGAAATAATATTTAATACTTTATGATATAAATAAATATTTGATATTTAATATTTTGAATAAAAATCTTCTTTTTTATGTAATACATTAAATAAAAAAATAGGTACCTATACATATATAATTCATCCTAAATTAAATAAAATGTTTGTATTTGAGAGTATTTTAAATTATTTTTAAAATAATATAAAAATAAATTAAATAAGTTTGCTATAATTTCAATTAAATTTTTGACCAATTAATTTATGCTGGGCTTTTTGTGTTATATTTTACCCAAATATAGACATTAAAAAATAACAATATTTTAATATAAAATTACGATTCATAAAAATTAAAATAGAAGTATTATAAAAAGTTTATTAAATAGCATATAAATAAAATGTGATAAGTAAAAGAGTAATACTTAAATAAAAATAATAAAATTATAAATGAATAAAATTGTTTGCTATAATTAAATTGTACTTCTTCAATTTCGGAACTATAATTTAACTATAGTCTTGGTTGTGTTGGGTACAATATTAAAAGATTATTGACAGTGGGTAAAAGATATAGGTAAAAGACATTTTTGCCCTTGTGAGTGGATTAGTGTAAAAGGTAGTGACAATTGCGTAATAATAATGAAAGAGTAAGAGTAGTTTTATAATGATATTATTATTTATGAAAATAAGACTATTGTTTTGGGATGGACAAAATAGTAAATAAGACTATTGTATTAAGACGGAGGGAGTATATAAATTTATTGGTCACTTTTTAAAGAAAAGCTATGCGTTTTTGGGGTCGACCAATTTAAAAAATAATTCGAAATGAAATGTTGATTTGCTCGGGGCGTGTTTCTTATGATTTGGTTTGAAAAATTTTAGTATTAAAATAGTTTTGATAAGATATTTTGTTAAAGAAAAAATATATATATATTTTTTTCAAGAAGACAGAGTTCAAATAGTAAAATTTGGATAGCACTCTAATTTTTTTTAAATATATTTTGTGAAAATATAATACTCCCGTCCCAAAACTATAGTCGTGAGTTGTGTTTGGCACAGGATTTAAGGAATATTGATATTACATGAGTAGTGGGTAAAAGGTACAGGTAAAAGACTTTTTTGCCTTTGTGAATATATTAATGTAAAAAGTAGTGAGAATTGTGTAATAATAATGAAAAAATAAGGTTAATTTTATAGTGATATAGTTATTTATGGAAATGAAACTATTGTTTTGCAACGAACAAAAATGC